ATATGAATTCCTCTAGGGACATTCAGCAGTGCCTTAGAAGTGAAGAAGGTAAGATAAATCAGGGTTTTACAAGATGTGAGTGGAAATAGGACAAGGGGGTATGAGATTCAAGAGTAGAGGACAGTGTACAGCCGAACTAATTAATTTCTCAAAATGGTTAACTGGTCAAATTTTCAAAGGGAAGGATGACTGACTAGGAGAAGAGGATGGGGTAGAGTAGAGTGACTTAGAGAGGTTGAGAGTGATATCAAGACCATGACCATCTTAATAGTCTTAAGAGCTAAGATCATTCAGGGGTAGGGAACCTATGGCCTCAAGACCACATATGGCCTTGTAGGTCCTTGGACTCCTTTTATTAAGGGGATTCGTTTTGTGAAGTTTAGATTCAGTCAAAGGGCTGCACTTGAGGACTTAGAGGGCCACTTGTGGCCTTCAGGCCTCAGGTTCCCCACCCCTGAAGGCCACAGAGGAAGCTGCCCAACTAGGAGGCCAGGATGTTTGAAGGGGGATCAATAAGTATTTAAGTCCACAGTAGGAGAGGACAGTGGGATGATAAGCAGGATGGGGCGGGGGAGTGGATAAGAGCAATTACATCTGGGTAGAGATACCAGATAAATAAAGTGAAGAGATGCTGCCGGGAAGGGGGTGGGTGGGGGTGTGTGTGGGGGTGTGTGTGTGTGTGTGTGTGTGTATGATGACAACAAAGGGAGTGTGGCAGTATAGCAGTGAGAATCAAGGAGCATGCCTATTCCGGAATGGGGAACATAAGTGCATCCAGTACTGGAGAGGACAGTCTAGAATACAGAGGGAAACCAGGAGGATGTCTAAGATGAAGGGAAAATTACTGGAGGCAGAACAGAAGTTCCAGAGGACACAGCAGAAGGGGAGAGGGGAAGCAGGAGGGTGACTTGAGAGTGGAAGAGATAAGGTAAAAGGGAATGAAGGAATGGGCAGTGGGAGCAGAGGGAAGGGATTCTGCTTGGGCAGGTTTGCTGCCTTGGACTCCTATGCCTGCAATTCAAGGATTTTTTCCCCTTCATACACTCCTATCTTGAAGTATACTGGATGGACTACTGACTGTTCCTTGACCTCAGGGTGCTCTCTTTCACCTCAGTATACCCTTTGACTGGAACAAGACTCTGGAATGAATATTTACTGATGTATGTATACTATGTATGGGTTCAGCTCTTTGGAAGCTATAAGAGAAGTCCAAGACAAGGTCCCAAACCTCAAAGAGTTAACTAGTTGAGTAAGACAGTTCACAGAGCTTAAAAGGTCCTCCATACAACCTTCTGAGCTTACTACTTCAAATCCCTACTCTACAATGGCTTGGTTAAAAGTCTTCCCTTTCTTCAGACATCCTCCCTCTGCCCCCAGCATAGCTGAATTTTAAATTATACAATGGAGGCAGTTAAGTGGATGCTTTCAGTAGAGGTGGGAAATTTGGAAGAGAAAAGTAGCTCTTGCATTTTAACTTCTAAAAATTTAGCTACGACAAAGTGAAATGTTTGAGTTACCCAGCCCACAATCAGAGAGCAGGCTTTAAACTACTCACTAAGAGGGTCACAATATAAATGGTGAAAAAAGCACAATGTGGAATGAAAGAGAAATGCAACAAAAACTTGAGAGAGGTAAAGAGTATCCAGAGAAGGCGGATCAGAATAAGAACTTAAAAGTGAAGCATCTAAATAGAGACCTGGGAGCTTTGAAAATAACATGTGAGATTTTCATTAAACCAAAGGATTCTCAAACTAATTTTCCTGGGGACCCTTAATACTCTATGTACAAATACAAATAAGTGGAAATGCAACTAAACCAAATGCATCCTCTAAATGAAGAAAGGTGGTCTTTTCACCTTTCCAAACTGGCTCCCCCCCCCAAAAAAAGAATAATTTTGGAGTTTTGTTTTTAAAAAATCTTCCAAGGTTTTCACAATGATCTCATCTCTATATTTTCCTCCACACACCTTAGTTTCCCCCAATGCCTCTTCTTTTCACAAGGTCTCCTTTCTAAACAGCTGCCCTCCCTATCTAAATGAATATATTTACTAAGTTCTAAAACTTCAATCTTCACTGCAGCCTGACCAAAGTCCTTCATTCTTCTATTCTAAAAATCTATTTCTTCAGTAATACTTGCCTCTTGATCACAATTTTTAACAGCCCAGATGCCACACTGCATTTCATGAAACCCACTTCTCCAGAAACCTCACTTACCACCCCCATCCTAACACCTAACCATAAAGCTCAAACTTGCCTTTAAACCAGGCCTTTACTTGATTCCCTGACTCACCCTATTCCCTATAAGCTCCAATTTTTCCTCTTCAAAGATGTGATTTGTTCTCATCAGTCCCTAGCATTTCTTTTCCCACCAGAACCTCTTCTTTCTTACTCCCAAACCAAGTCTTCCTTCACACCATCCACTGGGCCCTTAAACTCTACCCTCTCCAACTATCCAACCCCACCCCGAAAGCTCTCACCCTCAATCAATCATCTGCTCCTTATTTTCTTAGACTTCCCTACACATCCTTCATTACTCTTCTCTCATCCAACACTCTCCCACATTTCCCATGGCCTCTTCCTTTCACTTGGCCTCTCTTTCCTCCTCCTCCTCACAAATCTCACATTCACTTCCTTCTTCCCTCCCACTACTCTCCCTCCTCACTCCCTTCCATGTAATTCACTTCCCAAAGCCCAGTCTTCTACTCTCCCACCCTACCAACTCCCCTAACTCTATTCCCACACTTTCCCCCTACTAAGGCCCTTCACATGCTCTCTGCTGTTGTACCATTACCCCAAAACTGCCTGGCCTTTACTCTCCTCACCATATCTGTAGAAGATACAACTCTGGGGGGAACAGTTGTTAACTGGATGGCAGTCAGGATGCAGAGAGCCCTTGGCAGGCTAGAACCACACCAAGCAGAATCTAATATGATGAAATTTAGCAAGGGAAGATGGACAGTTGGGTTCAGAAACTTGACTTCACAAGTAGAAGTTGAGGGCAGCATGTTTACACAGTTTTTCTAAAAAAGATCAGGAGGTTTCAGTGGGCTTCAAGCTCCATATGAATCAACTGTGTGATACAGCAATCAAAAAAGCTAAGGCATTTTGCGGGTTGAATTAAGACAGGCTTCTAAGAAGGTCAGACATGGACAGGGCGCATCTGGAGAAGGAAAGGCCATTGACAACCAGGAGTGTGTCCAGAGGAGGGCAGCCAGTCAGGCCGTCAATCAGCATTTATTAAGTGTCTACTCTGTGCCAGGCACAGTGGGCTGAATGGCCCTGGGTCCATGTCAGGAGGCTCTGCTGAAGGATCGGGGCATGCTTAGGCTGGAGAGGAGAAGGCTCAGGGGGCATCGGGACTGAGCGGCAATCAGGCGGAGGAGGGACGGCCCGGGGCTGGGGGACCCCAGAAAGCAGGACCAGGAGCAAGGGGCCAGCACCTACAAAGGGGCCCAACTTCCCACCACGAGGCCGGGAGGGGAGCTGGGTTCCCCCTCCGTGGAGGCCTCCAGGCCGCCCCCGCCGGGGAAAGGGGAGGGAACTAGACGACCCCACAATGGGGTGTCCTTCGAGCCCCCTCCTGGGCCCCTCAGGCCTCCCTTCCCCCCTCCACACCGTCCCCCACGCCGCCCGGGTCTGCCGCGTCCCCTCAGGCCTCCCTCCCTCTGCCCCGCCCGCCCAGGCCCCCTCCCCGGCCCCGGGCCGGCTGCACTCACGGCTGTAGAGGGCGATGCAGGCGGCGTCCTGCCCGGTGCGGACCTCGAGGCGCAGCGCCTGCTGCTCCGCGTGTCTCTGGATCTCGCCGTTCGCGTCCCCGATGGTGAGGAGCCGAGCGCCGGGGAATACGGACACGGCCACGCCGGGCCCCGCGGCCGCCACGCCGCCCGCCGGCCCCGAGCCCCCAGCCGCCACTGCCGCTGCCGCCGCCGCCGCCGCTGCCATCTTAGATCCGGCTCCAGGCCCCGCCGCCTCCTCCTCCTCCTCTGCCGCCGCCGCCGCCGCCGCCGCCGCCGCCGCCCGGGCCCAGGCTGCAGCCAGCACAGAAGCCGAGGCCGGGGTGCAGCGTCCCCTGGCGGCTCCTAGAGGCCTCGCAGGCGCTGCCGCGGCCCGAGCCCTGCCGCACAGCGCCCCCTACCGGAGGCGAGGGGCACCGCGGGCCGGGCTGGACACGCCCCCTGGCCGAGGCCCGAAGCGTGAGAGCTCCCCATGTCCCTGGCCGAGTAAGGCCAGGCCGGGCCGCGCTGCGCTGCGCCACACCTGCTTCTGCCCGGGCCTTGTCCCTGAGGGCCTGGCGGGTGCGCGCATTGTGAAGTGCGCTGCTTGCGGGCGAGCGAGTAACTGCACAAGCTCTGCACCCGCCACCAACTGACTCCCCGGGGGTGGGAATGACAGTGCCCCTGCCTGCCAGCTCCAGAGCCTTCCAAGTTGCGCCCTCCACGTGCCTTCCCTGGCCGCGGCCACGGCTTAGCCCCAGATCTCACTCCCTGGCCTGAAGCTTTGTCCTTCAGTCCCTGTGGACACCCACCGCCAGCTGTGCCCACCCACTTGTGCAAAGCCCAAACCAAGGAGACAGCTTTGCTCCATGCCTTTCCAATCCACCAGTCCTGAACCCACTGACCTGAGTTACTAGGCCATATAATAACAATAATTAATAAGAATAATAAAAACTGACCCCTCAACAAAGAACAGGAGTCACCTATTTTATCATCACTACCTGCCCCGCCTGCCCCCAATCCTCTTTTCCAGTTCTAGCTGAGGTGAAAAGACTCCCTCCTGCCAAGCACAGGGGTAAGAAAACTGGAGAGGGTGAATCCAGACCTCTGCAGAAAGAGGTTCTTTTTGCTTTTAATACAGAAAACCACCTCCCCACCCCAGCTGGCTCTATTTTCCTAAGTAGGGATAGGAGTAGAGGAAATATCCTGTCTGCCTCGTGTATCCCAAGCATTCATTTCAAACTCAATCACCTAGAATGTTTTGTCGTGGAATAATAAGCCCAAAGGGTTAATAACAGAAATCCAGAGCTTTAATAAGACTCCACACTTTGTTTCTTACAAATGTCTCAATGTTGGTTATAATTAATAACATAGACAATCTTGCCCCCTCAATTCTGTAGTTTTCAAAGAAAAGGAATGACACACATAGAACAGAAACTTAGGGCTCTAGGACCGAGCACTCTTAGAACACAGTCTAGCAAGTACCTGTCACCAACTAGGGCTGGCTGCAAATAAGTCACCAGAAGGCAGGAAAGCATTGGTGGTGGTTGAAATAATTCCAAAACGTTTTTTAGTGGGGACAGGAGATGCTGTAAATCCAGATAGGAACTTTTGGTTCTGTATCTTGTCCGTGCTCTTGCAACAACCATTAATGTTACTCTGCTCAGAATGGGCTACTTGGAAAGGGGCAGAATTCATGCCTGACACTATCCCCCTAGAGAAAGAGCTTCACCTAGCGAGTTCTCTGCTTCCATAAATGGGAGACAGCTGTCCCTGAGATCCTGGCTTCTGTGTATTTGCTGTTCAACAGATAAAGACCTTTGTTGGGGTCCTAATACAAATGACATCTGACAGTGACTGAAGCTTACAATTTATGTGGCCTTGAACAAGTCACTTAACCTCTTTGGGACTCAGTTTCCTTATATGAAAAATTAAGTGCAGGGGTTCAACTAGATGGCATCTGAGGGCTCTTTCTAGGAATAAATCTATCATCTCTGAACCTGAGACACAAAACAGGCTATTGCCAACTACTGAGCAACAGAAAAAGCATTTCAGTTGGAACAATGAAAATCAGGACATGACAGTATCTCTTGAGAGGCTGTAGTTGTATTCCCCCCATAGGGGCCCTGGATGAAAGATGAAGGGGTGGTAAGCCAGACATACAGGAGCCAGGCCTCCCAGACTTCTTCAGAACCCAGCCTGGAAACTGATAAGTCAGGGGAAGAATGCAAAAGGAAAAATGCAACCTCTTAGTCTCACAGCAGGACCTGAAGGTGCTGAATTCAAGGAGTCCAGGAATGGAAGAATTAGATGTGAGCATCTTCCTAGGTACAGGGGTTTGAGAACAGGGGATAGGTTCATTCGAAGGACCTGAAGGTGCTGAATTCAGGTAGCTCAGGAATAGAAGAAGTAGATGTGGGTCTCTTTCTGGGCACAAAGGGTTCTGGAGCCAGAGTTGAGCTGGTGAACGTACCGTGAGTATCCACATCTTCTGGGGTCATTTTCTTTTTCAATAAAAGAAAATAAATAATCAAGTGACTTCTAGTATACAGAATTGTGGGTATTCCCCTACTTTTTCTCCTCCATCCATACTAAATACTATTTTACCTCATTCTTTCACTAGTCCTCAGCTCCAAACCTCTTATTTTATCTCACACTTTATGATACTCTGTCCAAATAATGCTTGTTTCCCCTTCTTTTCCAGTACCATGTAGTAGAAAGATCACAAGATTTAGATTCGGGAGATGTAGATTCAAATTAGTAGCTAGGTGGCACAATGGATAAGAGTGGTAGACTTGGAACCAGGAAGATCTAACTGAGAATCTTGTCTCAGACACTTACTAGGTGTGTGACCTTGAGCAAGTCACTTAACTTCTCTCAGCCTTAGTTTCCTCATCTGTAAAATGGGGATAATGATAACACCTACCTCCCAGGGTTGCTGTGAGGGTAAAATAATATTTGTAAGGAACTTTGCAAACTTTATAAGTGCTAAACAAAAGCTATATATTATTATTCAATCCCTGCCACTATGTGATTATGTGCAAGTGACTTAACACACCTACGCACTTAGCTTCTTTATGTGGAAAATGAGCAGCCTGGACTAAATGATCTCTAAAAGCCATTGCAAGTTGGTATCTTGTGAACCTTTCCCATTCTGGGCTTTTCTCATGTACTTTTGTCATCCCTAGGTTACCGGTGCTTTCCAGAGTTGTAAGGGACCTTAGAAGTAATCAAGTCCATTCTACAGCAATAGGAATCCCCTTTATAACATTCCTGACAAGTGTTCATCAAGTATCTACTTGAAGTGATGGGGAATCATGACTTTCTGAGGCAGCTGATCTAATTTTTTTTGGGGGGGGAGGGGTAGTTCTAATTGTTAGCAAGTGTTTCCTTACAATGAGCCAAAAATCTCTGAAATTTCTATGCAGTGCTCCCAGGTCTGTACCACAAGGGCCAAATAGAACAAGCCTAATCCCTCTTTCCCATAAAAGTCCTTTAAGTCCTTGAAGGCAACAATCCTCTCCTTCCTAAATCTTCTCATCTCTAGGCTAAATACTCTGTTTTTTCAATAATCACAATAATATGCCAATATAGTACACTCCTCCCAACAGCCCTGGAAGGCAGAACAAGTGTTAGTATCTCCATTTTACCAATGAGGAAACAGGCTCTGGGAGGTTGTGACCCATCAACATTAGATAATACATCTAAATGTGTCTCTGGTGGGATCAAAACTCAAGTCTCTTGACTTTCAGAGTACAGCTCTATCGTTTGTCCTATGGCATGGATTCTAGTTGTCTGCCTTTTTCTTCCTCCTGAAAACCCACTTCATCACCAGAACCACCCTATTCTTTTCTTGCCAAGCTTAATCTGAGGAGGTAATTTGGAACCATACTGAAGCAGTCACGACCACCACAGTCTTGGTTTCTCTTCTGTGATATAGCATTCACTGACAAGAATCAAAAATGCCCACTGGGAGGGGTGCTAGATTTGTCTTGCCCAAAATAATCTGTGTTTGGGGAAGGAGTTCTACTTGGTAAAGAGTAAAAAAAAAAAAAAAAGAAATTCAACCTAACAAAAATTTCAGTTTCAGCCCTAAATGTCAACCAATTACAACTTATTAAATTTCATGAAGATAGTAGTCTAGTTTCTGAAGGCAGGTTCACAAAATATCTGTCTAGATATATTTTCCAAATGCAGCCTTTTAGCCCTGAGCTTCAAACTCACATTTTAAACCATCATTAGGCCCTTTTCACCTAGATTTCCTAATGGCACTTCAAAGGCAGTATGTTCAAAAGTAAACTAATTCTCTCTCCTCTGAAGTTTGTTTTCCTTCCTTTCCTCTCTATTTATGCTAATGGAAATACCATTCTCCCAGTAATTCTTGCTTGATACTTGACTCTTTTACCTTCCTTACTCCCCCACATTCAGTAAATCATGAAATTTTGTTTGTTGTTTGTCTCTGAGCAGGAAGATTTCAGAAAAACTGGAAAGACTTATATGAACTGATGCCCAATGAAGTGAGCAGAACCAGGAGAACACTGTACACAGTAACAGCAACATTGTGTGATGATCAACTATGACAGACTTAGTTCTTCACAGCAATACAATGATCCAAGACATCTCCAAAGGCCTCGTGATGGAAAATGCTATCCACATCCAGAGAAAGAACTATGGAATCTGAATGCAGATCGAAGCATACTATTTTCTACTTGTTTTTTCTTTCTCATGGTTTTTCCCCTTTGTTCTGATTCTTCTTTCACAACATGACTAATGTGGAAATATGTTTAACATGACTGTACATGCATAACATATATGAGATTGCTTGCTGTCTTAGGGAGGGGGAAGGGAGGGAAGGAGAAAAAAATTGGAACTCAAAATCTTACAAAAATGAACGTTGAAAACTATCTTTACATGTAATTGGGAAAAATAAAATACTATTAAGTACAAAAAAGTATTCTTTGTCTCTGATCTTTCATGTTCACTCCCATGACTCACCAATCCAATCTACCTCCATTACTTCTTGGCTGGACTACTGCAATATCCACCTAACTGGTCCCCTGTGGACATCTAGTGGCACAGTGGATAGAATATCTGACCTGGATTCAAGAACTGATTTCAAATCCCACCTCAGATCCTTCCCAGCTGTGTGTCCTTGAGCAAGTCACTTAACCTCTGTTTGCCTCAGTTTCCTTGTCTGTAAAATGGGGACTATAACAGTACCTACCTTTTAGGGTTGTTGTGATGATTAAATGAGATAATATTTGTAAAAGCACTTAGCACAGTACCTGGCACACTGTAGGTGCATATAAAGGTTAGCTATTATTATCAGCCTTCACAGATTCCCAGAGAAATCTTGCTAATGTATGTGATCCTATTGCTTCAGTGCTTCCAGATCTTTGGGGGCTTCCCATTGCTTATGGGATAAAGTCCAAACTTTCTTGGCCTTGAATTCAAGACCCTAAACAATCTGGCTCCAGCCTCCTTGTGCAGCTTCATCTCACCTTCCTCTCTTCCATTTCACCAAACTGGCATTTACCAGAACCACATGCATCTAACATTGTCTTGTTTCTAAGCCTTGGCTAATGACATTTCCTATCTCACAATCCTACCAATCCTGCCCTACTGAAATGATACTCCTCCTTAATGACCTAGCTCCAATGCTAGCTCCTCTATCAGATCTTTCTTGACCCTCCCCAAACCCTCCCCAAGTGATCTTTCTCTCCAGTGAATTCTCTTATCACTTTGCTTCTACTTCTCTTATTCACTGACCTCATTCATTTTGTATTATTGTCAGTCCCCTACATGCCTGATTTCCCCCATTAGATCATAAAATAACCCCCTGGAGGGCAGAGATCCACGTTTGTCTTTGTATTATTCTTTCTTAGTCCAAATCACATATCCTTGCATAAAGTAGGTGCTTAATGAATGCATATTGAATTAATGAAGATCTCCTTTGATAATTTTTGATCCTATGAGCTGATTTTAACCATATTTTAAAGGGGCAAATGACTTGAAAAAAGGTTTCCATTTATTTTATTAGTAGCAGATAAGTGAGATAGGTTTTCATTGAACCAATTAATTGCCTGTCTTCTAAATTCTCGATCTTATTTGGTTGGCCCATGTCTTTTGTCATCACTTTCCTTATGCAACCATAATGCTGCTTGGGAACAGATCGTGCCATGGAAGCCAGGCAATAATGCCTTTCAGAAGCCACCAGAGAATGGATCTCCTGGGAGCTGTTCAAATACGACATCTGTGATTGGGCCTAAGAACAGGTGGGAACTTCTCAGCATCTCAGGACTGGTCGTTTTTTGCAGAAGTGAAAGGGAGATGAGTGAAAAGGGGCTTGCAAATACCAAGCCAAGTGCAAGAAGGGATCCAGCACTTTCTCCCAATCAGTTTAAGATCATCTTAATGCATAAACCCAGAAATAATCAGGCTTCATGATTCTGGGTACTTGTCTTGGACCAAGAGTGACTACTTGAATCATTGCCTTCAGTCCTACAGAAACACTTCTCAGAGTAGGCTCTTTTTAAGGCCCCAGAGATGGTAAGAGTTATGTATGACCCTATTTCTATGGTGGCTGCCTCACTAAAAATGTCTCATTCCTTTGTCTGGGACCTAGATAAGAGAGTGGTTATATATCATCCAAAAAAACTGCTATCATTTCTTATGATTAGATCAAAGCGGTTAGGTCAGAGATGCCAACTGGAATGACTACTGATTGCTCTTGACATGGAAAGCTAGCAAAACTAAGGGAAAATATGACTCTCTCTCATATTGCTAGAACTCGGGTCCTTTTTGTAGATTTATTTCTATTCTTTGGTTCCCAGACTTTTTTTCCTCCTGGACACTAGCAAAATAAGGAATTTGCTGCTTATAATCCACAATGTCTAATTTAATAGGCAAAGGACAATACCAATATACTTCAAGATATATTCATTCCCTAGAATCTGGTTGTTTGTTGCTTGTTGAGTCATATCTGACTCTTTGTGACCCAATTAGGAGTTTTCTTGGCAGAGATACTGGAGTGGTTTGCCATTCCTTCTCCAGCTCATTTTATGGATGAGAAAACTAAGGCAAACAGGATTCAGTGACTTGCCCGGGGTCACACAGCAAGTAAGTGTCTGAGGCCAGATTTAAACTCAGGAAGATGAATCTTCCTGACTCCAAGCTTGGCACTCCAGCCAGTGAGCCACCTGGCTGGTCCAAGAATGTGGTAGGCACCTACACATTGTATCTTAAGAACTGAATCACTCACCATTGAAATGGAGAACAGGGAGTTATCAAAAGACATATCTGTAATGGGAGAAGAACAAAAGACAGGCCTATATCATTATTTTAAAAAAATTCTCACCCTCCCACCCCCATAGACTCTAGGATGAGTCATATGACTTAAGTTGCTTCCTCTATCCCACAACAGGAAAGGGCAAACTCTCCTCCAGAGGAAAAAGGGAAACCTAAGAAAAGAACTTTCTCAAGTACAAGGACCTAAATGTCAATTTTTCTCCTTACATCTTCATGGTAAAGTCTTCCATAACCTCCCTTTATCATTAGCAACCTTTGCTCATATGACCTCAGGTAATATTTTGTTTTATACATCTCTAATGCACTGATGCTGTCATGTTGGATCCTCCAAATAGCTCCATGAAAGAGGGAATTGTTTGATCTGAACTTTGTATCTCCCCAGCACCTAACAGTGATTTGGATACAGCAGGTATTTAATAAATATTTGCTGAATAAATATATCAGGTAAAAAACTTGACCTTTTCTTCCCAGGACAAAGTCAGTATGAGCAGCTGGACAGCTCCCTTCTATCCCCTTTACTCTTAGGGAGAGCTAGGACCAAAAGTACAGAGAAAGAGAGTCAAGAAAAGAAGTCAATCCTAGATGACTGAGGGTAGTTCCTTTGCCTTTAGCATCTCTCCCTGTAAGAAAACCACTGATTGTATAGCCACTGCAGTGAAGTTGGCTATAAATAGAGACTTCAGACTTGAAAAATGAGGGTGAGATAATGCCCTGCAGTCAGCACATTCCTCAGAACCAGAACTCCAGTGCTCCTAATGGGCAGTTCCAGAAGTGGGATAACTGAAGGGTCACCAGACCCCTCTGACTTCAGAAGAGGCTCGCGGTCTAAGACAAATGGTACAGGAAGAGAGAGCCTATGGTAGCTACACTACTCAAGTTGGAGCTAGGGACACACACCTGAAGTAGTATAGTTTATCTTGGTCCAGCAGGATTCTTGCTCTCTGCAAATGAAAAGAGGAAAGAATAAAAACTATTCCTCTGGTCTAAATGTTCTTAAAAAGTACTTTAGGCCTCTCCTATGTGCTCTTCTTGTCCCATTTTGCATTGTCATTATTTGTGCTACAGGGCTTCCCAAAAGTCTTGGTGCAGTTTTAAGCTATTAAAAAGCATAATGCATACGGGTAGGCACTGTATCTTACTGATCTTTCTATATCCTTCAGCATGTAATATACCCCCTTATATACATAATTGGTGCTTAAATGTTTGTTGAACTGAATTGAAAGGAAAATGCCTTATAGCCCAATACTAAGAAAGTCTTTATTTTCCAAACAGGAAAACAATGGGAGACCCAGAGAAAGGCTTAAATCTTAGGCTCCCCAGAAACTCTTTGAACTCACTTCTCACTTTGAATCTGAGCAATATAACCAAGGACTGCCTCCACGACACAGGTACCTTCCACCCTGAAATGGGCTGTCTTAGTGTAGGAATAAAGTGGGAGACCTCATGGACTCTGAAGGAAGCCACTCCCTTTCTTCATCCACATTCCCTGAACCAGTTATTTTCTCAAAATCTCTGATTCTACTCAGATCATCCCAGGACAAAAGGCATGAAGACTGATGTTTCCTCCACCACATGCCCCCTGAAGCTCTCCTGGACCCACCTCACCTTTTTTTCTGAAGATTTGTGACTTTAACTGGCAAAAAACAAAAACAACAAACATCAAAGCAGTATTAGATTGTTCCACCAATACGTTCATGTTGCAGAAGAGTAATTCTCTACAGTTTTGACAACCCTAGAGTCAAACCCGGCACTTCCAGTGCATAATCTGACTTTCTGGTTTCACTGAGGGAAACACAGTCAGGCAGAGGTTTTATATAATCTGAGCGGACCTGTGATCCTCACAAGAAACAATAGTCTCTTAGGAAACAGGCTTTGGGAAGGTCCTACATAGGATGGAATCACCCCCTCCTGTTGAAGAGCTTAAAGCACTTGGGAACACTGGCCTCCTTAAAAATAAGGTCATTTTTCCCCTGGGAAAGATAAGAAATCCATGTACCTCGTCTAATCATTAGAATGGTCGCAACCAGTATCATAATGAGGACGAATGCTCCAGCCAGACCCAGGGAGAGTGGTAAGATCCAAGAGGGCACTAGAAAACAGGAACAGTGAGATTGGACAGGTGAGGGAGAGAGAAGCAATAGAAAGGAAAAGGAAGGAGGTGCCCAAGGCTTTGCTTCACTACAAGGGGTAGGCTTGCTGGGCTGGGAGCACCAGAGGACTAACCGAGGCTCCCATTCTAAAATACTGCAAGAGGCAGAAGACCTTGTTTCTTCAAGGCTGCAGAGGTGAGCAACTGACCAAGGGTATATCAGAGTCTAATTTTCAGAAGTTTCTACAAAGGATTTACTCAGTGTTCTCTACTTAGTGGAAGTCACTGTTTCTAGACAGGAGCAACATTTCTTGAACTCACTTTTGTGTTGGGGCCCCTGTGACACCAAAGACACTCCCAGAACAGACCTGCCTGCCTCTGAGAAATTAGTTCTGGGGATGTGAGAAGGGCAGCAGACAGAGCCATTCAGTCCCTCCCTCCCTCCTTGCCTTTCTTTCCCAGTGGATCCACTTTACTTGGAGAAGTTGGTAGGGTTGTGGCTGGCAGCACGTAAACTGGAAAAGAAAAATCAGAATGAGAGAACAGTATTTCTGGGACATGGTGCTAACTTCTTCTGTGGCTTTTCTCCCCAGCTTCACTATATGTTCAGAGAAGGACACAGGATACTTTTTGACAGTCTTGTAGCTAGCTACTGTTGCACGTTAAGTTGTGAGCTCTAACATACCACCGTTTCACCTTGGAAGATCATCATGTAAATTCTCCAGGAGGTAAAGAGTAAAACAAGAGATGGTGTGGTAGGACATGTGAAGCAGGACCAGCCCATGAAGAGCTGGAAGAGTGAGCAGGTGGAAGGGGCTGCACCTGTCCAGCATGACAGAAAGCATCAAAAAATGAGCAGGCCCTTACCTGGAAAGGTCACATTCACTGGCTTGCTCAAATCTGAGAACTGCTTGGCAATCTCCCCCATCACACTGTACTGACATTGGTACTGCACTGTAAGGCCTTCGCTCGTGTTGGTCACTGTGAAAACCACTCCCTGCTGGGCCTCTTGTGCTTGCAGTGCCTGGACCATCCCATCTCCATGGAACAGTGAGAACTCAGCCTCCTGGAAGCCAGGGGAGGCCAAACATTGAAGGTGGATGGGATCCCCTGGGTTGCTAGGGTACGGAGGGATCTGGGAAATGGAAGGAGCCGGTATTGCCAAAGAGCCTGAAAAACAAAGTATATAAGGAAGGGGTTTTGTGGAGAGAATTCATGGGGAGGCTACATGGCAATGCCGATGGCTGCTGGAATTGGGTTCAAATATCAGCCCTCCTATTTGTTCTAGGGCAAATCACCAAACCTCTGGACCTCAGTCTCCTTATCTGTAAAATGATGGTTTCTAATTTCCTTTTTATCTCTAAATCTATGACCTGACAACCAGCAAGGCAAGCCTGCCCTGAAAGGGATTAGAGTTCTTCCCTTGAAGAGCAACACATCCATAGAGTGCCCTGGAGCTTCCACCCATCACACAGGAATCTTCCAGGGTACTTTCAGGGGCTCCTGAGTCAGAGGGTTACACTCATCCTTTCAAAGGCAAAGCCAAAGACCTGGACACACCACCATCCAGAGGACAAAGCAAGTATTCCTGGGGTAAGGATCCTGAAATTGGTACAACACACACCCTGAGAAATCTGTACAAACAAGCCTCCTTTTCCTCAGGTCTAGCAAATACTATCAAAGGTTCTCAGATATGATGTTCAACAAATTAGAAAGTGATTTCTGATGCCCAAGGTGTCATCAGATAAAGAAACTTACCAGTTACAAAAAAGAGGACTTTCCAGGGCATCTCTTCACTGAGTTCAGTTATGATTCTGACTGAAGAGAGAAACAAATACGACCAATTCCTTGTGAGGCAAGAAGAAAAGAGTTTACGAGGGCAGTTTCCTCATTCAGGGAGGAAGTTGCACACTCTTGAACTGAAAGGGAATTGCTATTCTGCCCTCCCCTTTCACAAACAGTATGTCAAACCAAAGAAGCTAAGTTCCATATTTTCAGTTGAATTCTACAGATTTTATGAATTTGAGAAACAATGTTTTTGCTTTCCCCTTTTTCTTCAAAGGCAGTGGAAAAGGGGAAGGGTCATTTGGCTACTTGAAAACCCACACCCTCAGGTACAAACCACAACACATTAAAGTTGGAATAGAAACCTGGACCATTTTCTTGAACTGGTGCTGGCTGTTTCAACTTCAGAAGCCTTTCCATAGGGAGAACTTTATTAACCAGAAAAAAAATAACTAACCCCAATCCTTGAACTACTCTTCTGCAATAGAAATCTCCTGCTCTCTGCCACAGCAGTAGTTTCTTGTGTCTCTCAGTATCTCTTCTTGAATCCATAGGTCTGGCTTGAGATCACATTTTGGGAAAAATGTGGATGATGTGTCAGGGAGAATGCACAGAGGAAGAGTGACAAATATAAAGTACCTCCCTCTTCCCCCATTAATACATTTTTTTCATACACGCATCAAATATAGCTACTATAACAAGGACTGTGGGACTCTGCTCTTCAAAACAAGAAAAAGACATCATCCCTGCTTTCAAGGACCTTCTGGTCTAGTAAAATATGACTAATGCTGAGAGGGAAAAAAAATGGGGTTGTTTAGGTAAAAGAGAAACTGAGGGATCCAGCCTGCCCACGTGAGCATAATGTTGGAGGTGGGATAATAGCTACTTAGTTCTCAAAGCTACTTTGGGAGCAATGGACCCAATTAACAGCAGAGAAAGTGTGAATTAATACTAAGTGCATCATATACTCACATAAGGTTACTCATAAACTGGCACAGTTCCACAGGGTAGAAATCACCCTGTAGGTGATTTTAAAATAATCACTAATATTCATAGTTTCAGTTGCCCCTAGACTGCAGGACCAGATGTCCAGGTGATTTCTTATATCCCTTTTTCTGACACTTGAAGATTATTGCTTCTCTGTTTTGTCTACACTGCATCTTTAGGCAGAGATGATTTTTAATCATCTTCTAGGTGAAAGCTTTTTTGCCTCCTCCATCTCCTCCCTTGTATCCACATCTTGTAGCACAACCACCAGCCCAAAAGTACTTAATGCTAGTTGACTGAGAATACTTTAGAAAGTGACTTTAGACACAATTTGTCAGTTCCAGGCCTTTATTCAAACTGTTCTCTGAGCCTATACACTCTTTTTTCTTTCCTATTTAACTAAATCTCTTCAGGCCTGGATCAAGCCACCTCTCTTTGCTTCCATACTTCTATAAATTCCTATTGCTAATTATAGTCTGTGTCTTGACAATCTAACTCTAATCCTTTCTCTTTTTTAATTATTATTTTTTCTTTTTTTAGGTAATTGGGGTTAAGTGACTTGCCCAGGGTCACACACCTAGTGTCAAGTGTTTGGACTGGGGTCAAATTTGAACTCAGGTCTTCCTGACTTCAGGGCCCGTGCTCTATCCACTGCACCACCTAGCTGCCCTTCTAATCCTTTTTCTAACTGTTTACTAGGCATTAGTTCATTTCCCCAACTAGGTTGTAAACTCCTTGAGTCTAAGGGGTATTTGATATTCTATATTTCACAGCACAGGGCTGAGGTTGGGTTTATAAATCTGGTCCTCATCTTCAACACACTAGAATTTCCCGAGGCTGAGAGGCAGGAAAGTGGGTATGTTATGTTTAACCTGGGAATTAAGGTCCTTATTAATTTGGCCCAAACCTCTCCTTTCAGCTTTATACTAAGTGATATATAATGGGAAGAACACACTGGATTTTAAGTGTCAGGAGATCTGAGTTTGAATCCTGTTCCCAATACTTACTGTGTAACAAGCTGTGATTTTATTTCCTCATTTCTAAGATAGGGATATTCTTTGTACTACCTTAGTCACAGGGTTATTTTAAAAAATTGTTTTATAAACCTTAAATCAATATTAAAGTACGAGCGATTATTATTCCCCTTTACACACAATGGTTTTTCCTTTTCTCTTGCCATACCAAGATATGAACAGTCTGGTAAGTTGGTCCTCCATGCCTGTAATTCACTCCCATTTCATCTCAATCTGTTGAAACCCTCCTCTCTTCAAGTCCCATCTCAGGAGCTACTTCCTCCAAGAAATCTTCCCAGATTTCCCCATTTGAAGGTGATTCCTCCCTCTGCAAAATTTCTCAGGGTCCTCAACGTGTCGGCTATTATCATTTGTCTGAATTGCTCCCTTTACATGCAGTATACTTGGTTTTGCACTAATGTGGATAGTCATTCCCCCTTAGATTTTAAAGGCCTTGAATAACTAATTCCCATTTATCAGGTGCAGAGTACTTTTATCACAACCACCTTGTTAAACATCTAGTGCAATTATTATTAAGTCCATTTTATAGATGAAGAAACTGAGGTGAAGTAACTAACCATCATCCCACAGATATTAAGTCTTTGATGCAGGATGCAAAACAGGCCTCCAAGTGCTTTCCACTAAGTTATGCTTCTGGAAAGTGGAAAGAAAACAAGCCCTGGATTCCAATTCTCCACTCCCTGCCCCCCCCCAGATTTCAGAGAAACCTGTAAAGACCTGTATGAACTGATGGCAAAGTGAACAGAACCAAGAGAAAAATCTACACAGTAAGGCAGTATTGCAAAGATAATCAGCTTTGAAAGACTTAGAAACTGATCAGCACAAAGACCTAGTACCATTCCAAAGGCCTCATGATGCTATCCACTTCTAGACAGAGAACCAATGGAAGCACGTTAGAGTCACTTGTTTTCTTTCTTTTTCTGGCTTTTTTTGGGGGAACGTGACTAAAGCCGAAATTGTTTTGCATGAGTATACATATTTGCAATAGCCTTCGTTTTTCTTGCTTTCTCAATGAGTAGGGGAGGAGGGGAAGAAGATTATTTGGAATTGAAAAAATAAATCAAATTCCTCCCCCTCCATCCTCCCCCAACGTGGCCCAAGGCAAGTCATTTGACCTCCCGGTTTCCTCAACTGTGGAAGGGGGGGGCGAATGTTGGGCCCGGGGCCACCCAGAAATCCGGGCTGTAGAAAGGAACAGAGGTCAATGGCGAAGGGTGCGGCCAGGCCCCTCCCCGGAGAGGGCAGGCCGCGAGACCCCGACACCACCCCACGCTCTGCCGGACCACGCGAAGAGGCGGGGAAGCCGAGTAACGGCCAACGGTTCCCCGCTCGGGGCATTCTGGGAAACGGTCGCGCTGCTCCTGCGTAAGGCCCCTTAGCCCCTCCTTCTGGCCTGGGCTTAGCTGTGTCGACGATTGCCTGCGGGGGATGGCCCAGCCTGAGCGCTCGTTTCGTCCCACCAAGTCCCCACAGAGGGGCTGTTTCCAGAAAGGAAGAAAACGAAGGGGAGAGTAGGCAGGGCCTCCCTCCAATCCCAGCGATGGGGCAGAAGGGGCGGGACTCCTCGCCCAACAGGCAGGCGTGGGAGCCAACAGTGCGGAGAGGCAGCCGGGGAGCGGAGCCAAGCCTTAAAGGGGCCGCATCCCTTCCTCACACTGCCGGATGACCCGGATGATGGCGGCAAGGGCGGCCCTGGCCCTGGCCCTGGCCCTGGTCCTGGCGGGATGGCTGTCGCCGCTGGTGGCTGGGACCGCGGCCGAGCTTGGCTCCCGGGCTCCCCCACCTCAGGACGGCGAGTTCACATTTTTGCTGCCTGCTGGCCGTAGGCAGTGTTTCTACCAGCCCGCACCGGCCAACGCCAGCCTGGAGGCCGAGTACCAGGTGAGGGCGGGGATGAGGGTGGGGGTGGGGAAGCTGGAGGGTGGGGGGAGGGGAGCCCGAGACGATTGGGGTCCCTTTGTGGGCGGGGCCAGAAGCTTAGGTCCGCTAGGGGCGGTTCCATAGCTTGGGGCCCTGATGAGTAAGGGGCGGGGCCAGAACCCGGCATTTCGAGAAGGGGCGGGGCTAGATCAGGAGGTGGGGTCTTAGACCCTAGGATTTAGAAAGTGGGACCAACGGCACAATAGGGGCGGGGTTAGAAAAAAGTGCCTTGGAGGCTAGGGGAGGGGAGGGGGTGGGGAGACTACCTGGGGAATGGGAGCGAGTGTGGGCCCCTGGCTGCTGGGTGGCCGGGACCCCTCCGGCTCTCTTGTCAGCATCTCCGGAGGCTGGTGGCTCCAAGCCTAGAGAGTGGGGGCAATCCTCATACCTGCATACAAGGGAGGCCCCTGTTTTGCCTCTGCCTCCAGGTCATCGGAGGTGCAGGGCTAGATGTGGACTTCTCCCTGGAGAGCCCTCGGGGTGTGCTGCTGGTCAGTGAGTACCGCAAGTCCGATGGGGTGCACACGTGAGTATACCTTCCCCCTGGCCCCACGCTGTCTCCCAGTGTCTCCGTCCCCACCCCCACCCCCTTTTACCTCCCAGCCTGACTGCCCTACTTTTGAAGGGTTTGGTTACATCTGCTAAGCCTGACCTGGCCTCAGGTTACTCACTGTTACCTTCCAGGGCTGCGGGGGCATCTCCTTGGCAGAATGGGGTGATTGGGCAGGTTACCCTGCCCTGCTTGAGGAGCTGCTCATTCTCTTCTCTTCTCTCCAGGGTGGAGCCCACAGAGTTGGGAGACTACAAGCTGTGTTTTGACAATTCCTTCAGCACTATTTCAGAGAAGCTAGTGTTTTTTGAGCTTATATTTGACAGTCTGCAAGATGAGGAGGATAGCGATGGTGATGGCTGGGCTGATGTGGTGGAGCCTGAAGAAATGCTTGACATCAAGATTGAGGACATTAAGGTGGGAACTGGATTCCTGCCTCCAGCTCAGACCACCATGTGTTCTCCCTGACCCGGCTCCTTAGACCTCTTTCAGCAGCTCTGAAGAGCAGCTCTTTAGTAAAAAGGAAATGCTAGTAAAGGTTTATATTTACATAGTACTTTGAAGTTTACAAAGCACTTCCCTTTCGACTCAGTGAAATAGGTAGTACAAATATTATTAGTACATTTTTAAATGAGAAAAAATAAGACTCAGAGAGGTATAGCAACTTGCCCAAGGTCATTCAGCTAGTAAGTGGGATTTAAATTTTGACCTACTTTGTTTCTACTGCACCACTATATGTACTCGGTTTTCACTGGAAAATTTGAGTCTAACAGGGCTATGAGAGTACCTTTACCCGGCCACATTTCCTTACTTGGTCTTCCTTTGGAATAGTGAGAGCAATTCCCTGCCCAGCCTATGAGGCTTGTGTAGATATTAAACCTGGGTGGGCTGTGCTTCAGGCTAAGGGGATGGGGCCCATCTCAGTTTCAGGGACCATTATGTCCAGGGCTTGTCTGAGAAGCTTGCTTCTTCCCTTCTTCCCCATAGGAGTCCATTGAGATGATGAAGACGAGGCTGGAGCGAAGTATCCAGGTGCTGACTCTGTTGAGGGCTTTTGAAGCTCGAGACCGTAATCTGCAGGAAGGCAACCTGGAGAGGGTTAACTTCTGGTCTGCTGTTAACGTGGGGCTGCTGCTATTAGTGGCTGTGCTCCAAGTGTGCACGCTCAAAGGCCTCTTCCAGGACAAGCGGGCTGTGCGCACATAGCCTTCCCTAGAGAGGGGTAGCTTTGGGAGGGAATTGGGGGGGGTGGAGGGAGTCTCTCTCCTGCCCAGGGTCTATTCATAGTCCTGGGTTTAGGAACAACTGAACTTCCTTGGGGGAAGCAGTTTAAGACTGACCAAGAAAGGGTCAGGAGAAACCTGGGGTGCCGGCCCCTCCCCTTTGTCAAGGACATAAGAGGGTAGGATTTTTTTTTCCTTCGTAGAAAGATGAGGCAGGTTCTTAAGTCAGAGGCTTCTAGGAGGTCCTTCTGTCCTCTGGAGCTCAGGGTATCCTCAGGATACCCCAAACCTAAGTTGAGACAGAAACAAAGGCCTGAGCAGTGAACGAACAGCTGGGATGGTGTGGGGATGCATTATGGCACTTCCTGTCCTGGAGGGGTTGTGCCTTATTAGAGGTGCAGATAAGGGGCTGCAAGCTCCATAACCGAAGAAAGCAAGGAGGTAGAGATGGGGTGAGATCTTTTGTTCCAAAGCTGCCCAGAGAGTAAAGATTACCTCCCCCCAACCCTCAGGTGCCTTAGGTATTATCCATCCTGGGGCAAACTCCCCCCCTCCCACCCCCACCTCACCCTATTCCCTCTCTCTTGCCAGTCTAGGTGTCCCCTATGTCAGGCAGTGGCCTCATTCTTTAGACTCCAGGCTGAGTCCACTCCCAGAATGGCTACATGATCTTTCTCTTCTCCCTCCACTCTGTTATTTCAGTACCCCAAATGCCAGCTGCTCAGAGACAAAATTAGCCCTGTGTGGGGCCGGTGCCTAGTCCCCAGCAGAAA